ATATATAGAGAGAGAGAGAGAGAGAGAGAGAGAGAGAGGGAGAGAGAGGGAGAGAGAGAGAGAGGCAGAGCCAAATAGAGAGAGAGAGAGGGGGAGTGAGACAGAGAGAGATGAGAAAGGGAGATAGAATGAGAGAGAGAATGCACCTTTTCCTTCCTTCATTTACAAATGTTGTTGGAAACAATGGCCCCGGTGACCTGGCTGATGATCTCAAACCGCAATACGACAACGCATGTCGCGAAGCGCGAAAAGGGAGGTGTCAACGCGTAAGAGGACAAAACCGCAAATGGAGACGTGGGCGATTGCGACGCGAAGGAGATGGCGAGGCAAGGGATATGGCGACGAAGGAGAGGGAGAGAAGCGAGGTAGACGGTGGGGGAGATGGCGACGAGATGGCTATGTCGCTGGCAAGGGCGGGTGGTCCGGGCGCGCGACGGGCATTTTCGGCCGTGAGGGTTGGCGACACTAGTGATTGCCTGCTGCTTCGGACGATTGCAATGCCCACCTGCAAATTTGCAGAATGGCCGCACCGTCATTTGAATGACGGATACATCCGCGCGGGGCCCAAGAAACAAACGTGGGCGGGAAAAGTCACGCGGGATGACGGATTGGAACCGTCGATATCACGGTAAAATCTGCGCGGGCCCCGATAATCAAAAGTGGGCGGAAAGGTTTGTGCCAGATGATGCGGAGGAACCGTCAATAGCACGGTGAAAAAAGGCCAGTCCTCTCGAAATCACGGCCCGCCCTCCCGCGATGGTTTTGGATCGGGCGATTTCGTGAGGACGGTCCGTCAAAAAAGGGACCGCCTGATATCACAGCCCCCGACGCGGCAGTCCTCCATTACTGACCCTGCGGCGGGCAGCTGAAGGGCCCCTCAAGCCCCACTCACTCCACTAACTGTTCTCCTGTCGGGCACCAAACGTATGGGGGTGTCACACCCATTCGCTGGTGTCATTTCTTCCGTGTGCTGCCTTTGCGACGCGTCCGCCATCGCTCGAAGTCACTGGCATCATATCGCAGGCCCCTTGCGCAACCAGGCCCTCGTTCTTCCAGCAATCATCGACAACGGGGGACGCTAACAAAAACGTCACGCGACTGTAGACCTTGCGCGTCGTCCCGTTCGCGCTGTGCTCTTCTTGTGTCGGTTGGACACGTTTGTCGACTGGCAGGTCAGTAAGAAGCCCATGCCCCTTCACCATTTCAAGCCCCCACCTCTTCCCATTGCCCTTCCGCTCCTTCGACCGTGCAAGTCTTGTTCTCTGCCACCACCTGCTCCGCCAATCACGCGCGCACGATCTTGAGCGCACGACGCCCACCGATCACAACCACAGAAGACCCCATGCAGTGACACACGCTGACGTCATCATCTTGCGCATGACGTCAGCGACGGGCAATGGCTTGCGGCTTTCACAGTCATCGCCCTCGAGTCTTAGCGTCCTCAACATCGCTTGTTGGCGTCCTTAACATCGCCCTCGATTCTTGGCGCCCTTCTACGACGGCATCTGACGCGTGGAGAAAGTCGCATCGCCCTCGATTGTTGGCGTCCTCAACATTGCTTGTTGGTACACTTTCTTGGACCGTGGCTCGCGGGTCGTCTTCCGCCTAGTCTACTCAGGATATCGCAATGTAGTCGGTCGTGCGAGTCTTCTTCTACACCGCCTGCTCCGTCAATCACGCATGAGTCGACATGCGCGCGATCTTGAGTCCGCGATGTCCGCAGCTCACAACCAGGAAAGTTTCCTTCCACTGACACACGCTGACGTCACCATCTTGCGCATGATGTCTGGAATTCGAAATGGCTTGCGGCTTTCGTCGTCAAGATCGTTGGACGCCTTCGACGATCGCATCTGACGCGTGGATGAAGTTTCATCGCCGTTGCTCGCTGGCGTCCTCAACATCGCGATATGTGATCACCGCTGCGACAACACAGCATCCGATAGACGTCAACACCGGAGACGTCATCTGAAAAAATGCGTGTCGGTTGACTTTCAGATCCCGTCCATCCATCTCCGGTGTTGACGTCTATCGGATGATGTGTTGTCGCAGCGCTGATCACATCATCCCATGTCCAACAGGGAGCCTCACGACAAACGCGCACCTCCAACAAGAATCGCATGTGTCGCACGCACAACCAACAGTGGCAAGGCCAACCATCCACAACGTTCAGCGACGACCCGTTGCACACAACGAATATTCATGGCGAATCCGAAATATCCCAGATTACCACCGATCCCGCGACACCCCACCACCAAGGGCCAACTTCGAGCTCGTTTCGGATCGACTCGGTGATTGAACATGTCCATCGCGGTTGTGGACGACATCAGGATCTTTTCCTTGTTGTCTTGAACACTCCCTGTCTCATCAACCGTTCCCGCACACGCAGCTAGCAGTGAGGAACCGCCACGCAACCGAGCACAAGACGCTTTATATAGTCTCGAAATCTGAGCTGAATGAACGCACCAATGGCCTCGTGGAACGATCAGCTCTCGATCCACGCCGATCACATTTCGATTTCAATTAATCGCAGCCGCGTGTTCCGGAGCAGCTTAGGGAGGCGTGCGCGGGATTGCAGCAGGAGTGAGAGAGTGTTGTTCGTGCAACTTATTCCGGATAGAGTTCGGATTCATCCGAGCTCGGGATGAAGGCAATAGTAGATATCTTTTGCAATGCCTGTGGTTGGACGACTATGCCCCCCTTACATCCGACCCATTGTTTTCAGGCAACGTCCCCCCATCGAGAGTTTTGAGGCGACCCCCTGTCCATGACAACGCGCCACTTATGACTTTTGTTGGTGTTCTTTGTCTCCCACGAGGGGTTATGCAATTCTCAGGCTGGACGTTTTTGTTCCGCCTCACTACGGAACGTGTGATGTAGTTCGGATGAATCCGAACCACAACTCTCGGCTCGTGGGAAGTCTCWACGGGAACCGCATCCCTCCGATGYCTCAGTGGAAGGGACAACGACGCCACAGGKGATCGCTTTCGAAGTAAACATCTCCACAAATCATGACTCCGATAGCTCCCCATCTGCTTTTGCCTTCGTTTGTAGCTCGGATGAATCCGAACCACAACCACAGACGATTGACGAACGGCAGTCGTGGCTTTTGTCAGTGTTTATTTCTTCCGCATTGTGTAGTGCAACACTCACACCGAACTTGTCAGTTCCGCTTCACTCCTAAACGTGTGATGTAGCTCAGATCAATCCGAACCACACCCCTCATCGCATCGGGAGTCCCGAGGTGAGTATCACGCCCAGTGACGGAATGTCTCATCGGTAAAGGAAAACGGCGACACATGCCACGCGTCCTTAATGCAATATATAATATCCATAGGTGGGCACTCATGACATTTGTTGTTGATTTTTCCTTCCAAGCGGCGAAATGTGAACATTTCGCGGGACGTCTGGGAACCGCCTGATTGAAACCTTTTGTTGTGGTCCAGATTAATCTGAACCTCATAGCTCGACGACAATAGAGTCTGATTTGTCTGCCACACCGCGCAGGCGGGTCTCATGAACTGGGGATGGCACTCTTGGCTTTTGTTTGAGTTGTTTTATTGCGCATGGGGCAGTAATGCAAACATCCCAAAGGACGTGTTGCTTCCTACGGGTTCCACCTTCAATTCCAGGGGTGTCTCATCCTTCTGCCACATCCCACCGAATGAGGCGAGGACGCTGGGCGGTGGCTCGGATTAATCCGAGCCACGGATGGTCGCACGACATCCCATTTAATGTCTATCTTTCCGGGGCGGTTGCTTGGATTGATCCGAACCACGGATTGTTAGGCTTGGATGAGTTTTTGTCTACGACTTCTGTTGGCGGGTGGCTCGGATTGATCCGGACCTCGGATCCGGGGCGGGAGGCTTGGATGAGCTTCTGTCTTGCACTTCTGTTCAGCTCGTATTCAGAATGACAGTGGTAGGTAGAGTTTGTGCTTTTATGGCTCTGTGAAAAGTGCTTGGCATGTCGACTGTGCGAAAACGTCTTCTGTAGATGAGGCGGTATAATGTGGCTGTCCGGCGTTAGTGTGTTGTTCCGTTCCTCCCCCAAAAATACACAAACAAATGTTTTGCACACGACGACGAGGCTCGTCCGACTGTTCTGTCCGTCTCAATGTGTTGTATTTGATAATTTTAGGAAATTAGGCATCTGCTCTGGAACGGGTCCCTGCATGACTTTTAGAAAACACCACATTGGCCTGGTGAACTTCTGATTGATGACCTTCTGTAAGGGCTTTGCTACGCGATGTGGAAAGATCTTTTTTTTGGACGATTTCCGTTCGACGGCCTTCTGTAAGCGCTTCGCCGATAAAAAAAGTGTTGGGCGAAACTCTCGTTCACCAACATTGTTTACGACGGTCACGTCTTCCGTATGTCTTTCCATGTGTTCGTGTTGTATAGGGAGTTTAATGTCGTTGAGTCCTTCGACAAGCATCGCCATGACACCCGAGAAGCACATGCGCTTAGCGAAACCCTTTCCACCTTGTGCGAGATCGTTGCGGCATCATGACGGTCAGACGTGGATCGACGATGCAACCGAGGACGACTTCGTGGACGACCGTTGTCCCTTACATGAACCGTCATCTCGACGAATAGAACGAAAATGACTGGAAGAAGATGGAGCGTTCCTGCCCATGGGCAAGCCATTACAAGTTTGCCAACATGTTGGAGTTCGGGAGCCTCATTGCACTGCCTGATGGTGTCCTCCGTCGAAAGACCCTGGACGATAAGGGTAAATCGGTCCGCTTCCGTACCAGCTTCAGACGTCGCCTCCAATGCGAGTACATCACATCTTCGCCACGAGCTTGGGGAAGTTCGCAGAAGCAAGAGTTGGTAGACTGCGCTCGTCATTGTTCATTCTTGGAACACTACCCACCCCGTTGCCCAGGGACTTCTCCACAAGCTCTGTCGTACTGTTGTGTGCGGTTGACAGATGACGGATGTCCTTTCGCCAGAGTGCTATGTGTGGCTTCTTCAAGTAGGAAACTTGTGGATGCAGTTGTGCTTGTGTCACACAACGAGATGGTGCTTCAGGGTTCCAAGTTCAAGGCGGTCATGTCTCGCCCAGATGTAGATGGGCGGTCAGACTTGGTGAGAGCAGGTCAGGTGAGAGTTTTTCAGTCATTGTGGGATGATGTGGAAAAGAAAGTGTCTGAAATACGTGACTGTATAGGGAATTCCTTAGCACGACGAGGAGGGTTTGTCATGATGAAATACATGTCTGTGTTTTCGGAGAACGCAACAGTCGACAAGCCGAGGATCCATGTGTATGGATCATCTATGAATGCTATGTATGGCTTTCGTTCACGACCACGTCTGCGGGAAAGCCCGTATGTCACAAGATACGGATGTGTGGTCAGACCTTGTGTTTAAGGGAAAAGGAAACTCCCTCATGACGACTACAGTTGACACCGGCGTTGTGGCATTTGAACTAGCACTGCAGACTTGTGAAGGTGACGTTCTATAAGTATTTCGGATTCATCCGAATCATCAATCAGATACATGCGGGTACACACAACGTTGAACGCGATGCATGAAGGTTTCCCCAAGGACAATCCTTGAACGAACAACAACCCGTCAGATTCGGTCTGTGCGACTCGCTAACAGCACACCGTCGAGTTTATTTTCTTGCACGCCTTTGAGGCAAGCGAAGCTTCCAAAGAGTCCACGGCCTTCTAGATCATCTGGCACTGCCATGTTTCGTAATTGTCCACGATGGTTTTCGGATAGGACGCCATGAAATGTGGTGCTCGTGTCTGTGGCCCTCTGTGCAACAGCCACTGCATGGCAGAAAGTAACGTGAGCGACGCCGGCCAAGACTACAATCATGCATGTCCAGCATGACAGCTTGTATCTCGGATTCATCCGAAGTCGCCGGCTGCACAAGCATTTTCATTCTCATCCCCGAAAAAGTCGTCTGTTTCCCTAGACACCTGCTGATAGAAACTCCTCTTTCCGTCAATACGCTGCATACGGGCCGATGATCAGCAGCCGCGCAGAATACATAGCACGTCCCGATTGCAAAATCGTCGGGTCATTTTCTCTCGACGGCGAAGGCTCGTGATCACCCCCGGCGAGGACGACGATGGTTTTCAGATTGGATGCCATGAAATGTGGTGCCATGTCCGTAGCCCTCTGTGCAACAGCCGCTGCCAGGCCGAAAGTGACGTGAGCGACGCTGGCCGACGCTGCAATCTGCCTTGTCCGGCATGTCATCTTGTGTCTCGGATCCATCCGAGCTTGTTCCTTCTCGTCACCGGATGATCAGCACCTGCACAGAACACAAAAACACCTCCCGATTGGAACATCGTGGGGTCATTGCGTTGTCGACTCCCACATGATGATTACAGTGAACAGCGGCATGACGGCAGGTCCGCCTCTCCGATGTGGGTCTAACGGTGGATTGCGTCAAATCTGCTCTCAAAGATCCACACTGCAGAGGGGGACCAGCAATCGACCACTGCTTGCTTGTAAAACATCATATGGTGTGTCGATACAACCGACATTCGGAACTGGTTGGTGAGCATCTGGTGTTACGCTTAAAAGTTCGTCATGCGGCCGCGATATTCCCCCATGATTGCTCATTTTGCGGTTCTCATGTCATAGACTCCCTTATGATGACTACAGTTAACAGCGGCAGGGTAGCAGGTCCCCTTCTCCGATATAGATCTCACGGTGGAGTGTGAAACTCTGCTCTCAAAGATCCAGACCGGGAAAGGGGACCAGCTACCAACCACTGCTTGCTTGTAAAACATCATATGGTGTCTCGATACAACCGACATTCGGAACTGGTCGGTGAGCATCTGGTACTACGCCAAAAAGTTCGTCATGCGGCCGCGATATTCCCCCGCGATTGCTCATTTTGGGGTTCTCGCGTCATAGACTCCCTTATGATGACTACAGTTAACAGCGGCAGGGTAACAGGTCCCCTTCTCCGATATGTATCTCACGGTGGAGTGCGAAACTCTGCTCTCAAAGATCCAGACCGGGAAAGGGGGCCAGCTATCAACCACTGCTTGCTTGTAAAACATCATATGGTGTGTCAATACAACCGACATTCGGAACTGGTCGGTGAGCATCTGATGCTACGCCAAAAAGTTCGTCATGCGGCCGGGATATTCCCCACGATTGCTCATTTTGGGGTTCTCGCGTCATAGACTCCCTTATGATGACTACAGTTAACAGCGGCAGGGTAGCAGGTCCCCTTTTCCGATATGGATCTCACGGTGGAGTGCGGAACTCTGCTCTCAAAGATCCAGATCGGGAAATGGGGCCAGCTATCCGCCACTGTTTGCTTGTAAAACATCATATGGTGTGTCGATACAACCGACATTCGGGACTTGTCAGTGAGCATCTGGTGCCACGCCAAAAAGTTCGTCATGCGGCCGCGATATTCCCCCACAATTGCTCATTTTGGGGTTCTCGTGCCATAGACTCCCTTATGATGACTGCAGTTAACAGCGGCAGGGTAGCAGGTCCCCTTCTCCAATATGGATCTCACGGTGGAGTGCGAAACTCTGCTCTCAAAGATCCAGACCGGGAAAGGGGGCCAGCTATCAACCACTGCTTGATCGTAAGGCATTATATGATTTGTCCATTACATCGACATTCGAAACTGTTTGGTGAGCATCTGGTGCTACGCCAACAATTTTCAAACACGACCGCGAGGTTTCCTAAGAGTGTTTTTGCCACCCCACAACACAGACCGCCGACTGTTTGGCACTGCGAGAAGGTTGTCAATTTCTTACAACGTAGAGGACTCGTGATCACTTCCGTCGTTTGTATGTGTGCTGATGGTGCTCGGCATTGCATACTTGATGCACTAGTGGTGTGTGCTGCAATTGTCTAAATCTCGCGGGATTTAAGTGTCTCAGATGCATCCGACATAAGAACCTGCTACGATGCGGAATTGCCAATATTTACTTGCATCATTGTATCGGATTCATCCGACTCTAAAATCAGTTACATATTTGCACACCCGCAATTGCTACAACATGTCTGATCGGTGACGGGCAAGGCTTGTAGTCCGGTTCAAGGCTGGCTGTGCACGTCTAATGTCAAGTCCGATATTTGCCTTCGTCGTTGCGTCGGATTCATCCGACTCTAAAATATGTTACATACTTGTGGGCCCGCCATTTCTACACCATACATGTAAAATCGGTGCGGGTCAAGGCTTGTCGTCCGGTTCAAGGCTGGCTATGCACTGTCTTTTTGTTTCGTTGCGTTGCCCTCTATAGTGCTCCCCAACTACCGGACGCATCTCTTTTGCTTTATCATTGCCAAAGTGCAACAACTGTCTCGGTTGCGATTTGGGTCAACGTCTGTTGCTCTGCTCGCACGGAAAAGTGAAACGCTTTTCAACACATGCTTCACTGGTGTGATACGACGACTGTAGATCAAGACTTCCCTCCCACACCAACTTGCCTTCCGTTACGTTTTCGACAGGAATTGGCTGGGAAGGGATTGGTTATGGGCGTTGGAGTCCCAAGCAGTGCCGATAGTACTTCTTCTCGACTCGAGCCATGTGCTTCTTCTAAAAACGGTCACGTAACTCAAACACTCAACATCGACGGAAGAGAACACAGTTGTCCACCTCCACCACGCATTCGTACATCTGTCGTGATGTGCTCGAAGACCACATAAGCACTGAAAGCGGGGGCCAGTTTCTTAGTGTCGATTGTACATCCAGAGTCTCTTCAGCATGTTCTGAAATGACTGATGCTGGGATGTCGAGCTCCATACCCGAGGGGAATCTCGGTGGCTGTAGTTATAGTGGGACGGAGTACGTGTATAGTGCGAACAACTGCACTACTGCTGGTTCATCCTTAGGAGTTGCCGATGGAGGTGATAGGGTTTCCTCGTCTACCCCTCCGCAGTGCCAGGAGAGTCAAGGACCGTCCACGGATGGAATCACTGAGTACTGCTATTCACGAGATAGTCAGAGCTCGTGATGTCTCTCCGAAGAGGACCGCCACATACGGTACATTTTGCCGGCGCCTATGCCCGGTGAAAGAAGACCCTATTTTATGGCAAATAGAGAACCGGCCAAAAAGACACAGCATCGGCGAGCTATGGGCAAACTCAGGATGCAGTCATTTCAGGCAGTGCGAGGGATGCTCTGTTGTAGGCGGATGTGTTGCGCTGAACTGACAGCCGAAGATGTCAGGCCAGTGCGGGAGGCATTCTACTCGAAATGTTTCAAGGAAAGGACGAAGTGGTGGTTGCAAACCAAAGATGACTTCACGGTTATGGAAGGTGGTGTTGAGCGGGTCAGGCCTGTAGCTTGCAAACGGAAGATGTGCGTGCATGCATACTGTAACATTCTCGACATTTCTCGTAACACATTCTATGTCTACAAAAGGATGTACGATAACGGTGTTGTCGTTAGGGAGCATGGGTACTCGGGCTTGTCTAAACCATCCGAAAAAGTCGTCACGATGCTTGCACTGTTGAAACGATTCATCGACGACCACGCCGATAGTATGCTGAATGATATGGTCTGGAAATACGGAGTTTGTCGTCCTCGCCGTAGGATTCCTGCGGCATTCACAAAACGAGCAATTTACGAATCATTGCGCTCTGATTTTTTGATGTGCCACTCGGAAGTTGTGTCGGAGTCGACTTTCTACGCTATGTGGAGTAAACACTTCTGGCACGTGAGTCTAGCTATGTCCAACACATTCACGAAGTGCGCAGAATGTATATTCTACAAGCAGTGCATTGCTAAGTCGAAGTACGAGAGGGACCGTAAGAAATCCAAAGATAGGATGCGGAAACATCAAAAGCTGCAAGTCAATCGCAGGCTAGACTATAGCCACTGCAAAATGAATTCCATCTTGCGGCAGTCCGAGTGTGTGTGCATCATTATCGACGGCATGGATCAAAAGAGAACTACCATACCGCATATAGGATAGGCTAACTACTCGAAGGACTTGCACCATGAGAGGATGATGAAGACTGGTCTCACGGCCATTCTGGTCCATGGGCGGGATCCTTCTATATATGTTTACACATATTTTCCTTACTACACACACGGCCCCAGCAGTACGGCGACGTGTCTATTGCAGACTCTTACGGAGATCCAATCAAGTGGGAAACCTCTACCGCCATTTCGTCGTATTCAAGCTGGCAACTATTTCAAAAAAAAACAAGAATAGATTCATCTGCGCATTGGCAGCACTTCTTGTGAAGTTCGGGATTATCAAGAAAATAGAAATTGGTTTTATGATAGTTGGACACACGCACACACACGTCGATGCTACGTTTAGTGTTTTCTCCAAGAAACTCAAGGACAATGATGCCTACACAATGGATGAGTTGTTCCTTTTGCTAGAGTGGTCTCATAAGACTCCTCCACGGTGTATTTTTCTTGATAGGATAGCAGACTGAAGAGGTCTTATTTACCCGCATGTTTCAAAGCGCATGACAGGGATTTCGAAGCCCCATTTGCTAAAATTCTACATGATAGGTGATAATCCCGCCATGTCCTACAAAGAGTATTGCACAAACGCTAAATGGTTGCCCGAGGATGGTCCTCTTTACTGGTTCAAACAAACAGACAACGGTGGTTACGCTGGTCCGCAACAACCTTTCGATCCTCTGCCGGTCCAACCGACGTTCCTCGACGATTACAAAAACGGTTTGGAGGGTGTGAAGAGGTTTCTGGAAGTCTTTGAAAAAAAAAGAGAAACTTGGATGACTTTCCGAGACGAAGAGGTGACTAGAATAGATAGGGCTTTTCGGTTTTTGGAAGATCACGTCAAACACGAGGGGGACATTATCGACAACAGGGTGCCTTCGACACCCATCACCGAATTTTGGCCAAAGGTCACCCATGTCGTTGAAGACAGATGTTCTAGCTCTGATTCAGATCCATCCGAATTACAGCGAGAGTCTCTGTTCGTGGGTCTTCAGAGGGACAAGCCTAAGGCCAACTTTGATCCTTTCGAAGATGTGCATGTCGACAGTTTTGTTATTATGCAACCATCAAACGAGTACATGCATCAAGGAGTGCCTTTTTGGGTTGGCCAGGTTCGCAATGAAGTTGACAAGAACGAAGATTCGCCAACTTACAACCAATTCAAAGTGGAGTACTGGGTTCCAATCGGAAAAGCGACCACACTAAGCGAATTGTATGCCGACGCCTGGGGAAAAAAATGAAAAAAAGTTCCAGGACACGAGGAAGAGTATCAACATGTCACAACCGTTGCATTTTCTTGGATGAGACAAACGAGGACGAATGTCTGCGAGTCCTCCAGAAAGTTTACCACCGGTCTTGTGATTCCTCTGAAAGTAAGAAAAAATGCAACTCCCGCCCTAGAAAACGGCGTTGGCGCTTAAACACAAAGCGTTTCCGAAGAAGGGAGCGGGCAGTAGGCTACCTCATCGAGAGTGTGATGGTTGTCGTCTTTTCGTGAGGAGAATGTATTGCCATGCTAGCCTGTGCACACCACGCTTGACTCCATGGAATACATCGCTTAATGATTTGTGCTTTTTGGGTTACGCGCTTCAAATCAACAAGAGTTCTTCATCAATTTTCGACATTGACCATGGGGGCGTTTTGGTCGTCGTAGCATGACCTCGGGCTTTCGATCCCGACCTTGATGTGACGCTTTTATTATGACTTTTATCTTTTGCAGAGTGCAGACTTTCCTCTTCTGACGTACTTCGAAAACATGGATGAGATTTTGGGCTTTATTGAAATAAAAGTCCCTGGACGACTGACGATCATCACAAAGGGAGGAGCATTTCCTTTTCAATATGAGAGAATCTTTAGGATCGTAGCGGGAGGACGGACAATGTTTGTCATTATGATGAGGTTTACTGATCTGAACATTTTCGACATGCGCATATATGAGCGTCGGGAGAAAAATTGGATGCGAGGAGATTTTACAAGAGCTTATGTAAAAGCTTCAGAAGTTCTTTTCGCCTTGAGACGTGTTGTGCTCGGAGCAGGGGGTGACATTGAGGGTTTCTCGTTTGCCATTACGGAGTTTGAAGGTCTGCCTCAACCTCCAATCCCGGCTTGCATGATGGACGGTTCGACATGGGAACCGATAGTGAACGGTCTGCGAAGAGGCTTCTTCTGAAGACTTCAACTTTTTAAGACTTTTCATGACCAATCATACGTTTCTTGAGTTTTGTGTCATTATGTCGCATTTATGAACATTTCCGTAGTACAGTCATTTTTTGTTTATTTTTACTTTTCACCAGTTTGAGAGACGAATCTCGACACTTCCTAAGTTTTGTGGTCGAATGTCATATTAGTTGAAATTTACACAATGTGAAGTATTAACGAAAGTCACGAGTGCCGACCCTGGCTCATGGTCCGTTGTGGTTCTGATGCATCCGACCCAGAGAATAAGGATACTGTTACGACAAGCAAACACAAGAGCGTCAAGGGGGAAACTGGATGCTGGGAGATTTTACATCACCTTGTCTGCAAGCTGCAGATGTTCTTGTGTCCTTGAGACGTGTTGTTGTCATGGCCGGGGGAGATGTTCTCGGTTTCCATTACGGGGTTCGAAGGTCTGCCTCAACCTCCTATCTCGACTTGCATTGTTGACGGTTCAACATGGGAACCGCTACTGAACGCTTTGCGAAGAGGCTTCTTTTGAAGATTTCAAGTTTGGGACACTTTGGTAACGAGTCTTATGGTTTTAGAGTTTCGTCAGGATGTCAGATTTGTGAATGTTTTCATAGTGTAGGCTTTTTCAGAGATAAATCTCGACATTTCCAAATTTTTGTGTTAGAATGTCCGATTAGTTGAAATTTTCACACTGTAAAGTACTGAGGGTTTCTGAATCATCCTGCGTCCTCACCTTGCAAACTGTTTGGTTGTGTAGAACGTGGGACTCAATTTTGCAAGGTTTAGTTCACATTTCATTGCGTTGTGGGTGTTCTTGATTTGGATAGCCTTGCCAACTCTTTGGTTAATGGAAACATTTGAGGTAACAATCACGAATTCACAATATTGAGACCGGATAACTGTTATCTGTTTTTACGACGTACTTCTCATTTGTCTTGACAATGGTTGTGTGCCTGCTTATGTAGGCTGGGTGTCCCGCTCTGTTTTTAATTTGTCTTCGCTTTTCAATTTGATTCTCATGAGTTGTCAAATGTCTTCAAAATCCAGTGAGAACTTTCAAAATAAATATAAGGTCATTGATCACTTCAGCAACTGATAATCTGTACACAGTTTGATTCGGATGTATCCTACGCATTCGTTTGAGCCTTCTCCAATGTCCAATCCTCAGATGATAACGTCTCTACATAATATGCTCCCCACCACTTCACTCCGTACGATGCCCGTTTGTTTTGAGAAATATTTGGTAAAGTGATAATGTACATGCATCCGCCATGTAGTTGAAATTTAAGACTGATGGTTACTAAAGTTTTTAAGGGGTTCCCAATGGTGCACGTTTTTTTATTAACATACATCATTTGATCTCAGNGGTGCACGTTTTTTTATTAACATACATCATTTGATCTCAGCGAGGACAGTGGCGGAGTGGTGGGCATGTAGTTGAAATTTAAGACTGATGGTTACAAGTTCATGGTTGCAAGGTCGAACCCGGCAAGCGGCAAATGATAACATCTCTACATAATGCTGCCCACCACTTCACTCTGTCCGACGCCCTTTTATTTTAAGAAATATCTGGTACTAAGCTATAATTGCTTCTTGGAATGATAACATATTGGGCTATGATCATAAGTTCAACCTTTTGATTAAGTGAAGGATATTTAATGAATGACGCACGGTTGATAATATAACGGATTTTCTCCATCCGAATAATGAAATATTTGATTCGGATATATTTTGCTCATGTGATTCGGATGTATCCTACTCATCCTGCTTGTATTAAGTTAAACTTCAAAAATGAGTTATTCTTGTTACTCCCATGCACCCTTTAAAGCCTCAACGAAGACCTTTTTCGGGTCACTCATATGTGTCCCTCACAAGGTGAAACCTTCAATATGCTACGTTCATACTGACTGTCTGAATGTGTGCCAGTTTAGTAAGGATGTATCGGACTTCAGTAATTGAACTTTTCGTCTTGAAACAAACTAAATGTGTTGAGGATTTATCCGTTGAACAGGGACTCTTATCGTCGTGTTTGATGTATAATGACCATCTTCTTTCGTCAGCCGTGTATACTTTTCGAGTTCCTCGAACGACAAAAGTACTATTTAGAAAATAATGTACTATTTTGATGAATAACATGTTTTATCCACAAGTCTTCAACAAGTTTTCAACAAGTTGTCAACAAATGGTCAACAGATGGACCAACATCCTTTCAACAAATGAACCAACAGATGGACACACCAGTTTCTGTGAGCCCAATGTTTGGTCATTTCTGGTGGAACACATGACCCCCCCCCCCCGCCAAACAATTTATAAACAAAGTTCCAACGGTTGAAATGTGGTGTCCACACGTAATCATCCTGCTAGAAAATTGGCCACAATTTTTCTATTGGAGTACCGAACGACGTTCAAGCTCAAAGCTCTAGATGGGCGGATTTACCACAATGAGGGACAGGGATCAGCGCAGCAGCTAGGACGTCAGAGGCGGAATTGAACCGAGCCACGACGAGTAAGGACGTCCTGACTGGGGCGCCACATACGTCGCGACAGATGTTATGCGAGGAAAGAAGGATGCCACTGCTCTGCCGCAGGCTTGGCTGCGAAGGTTGAAATCCTTTGACATCAAGGTCGCCGACATCACCGCTTTCGTCACAGACTCTGCCAGTTCGAACGTTTCTGCGATGGAGGTGTTCCAGAAGGATGAGAGTGTCAAGTACATCTTCTGGATTCCTTGTGTGGCACACGTCATGGACCTCATCCTTGAGGACATCGGCGGCATTGACTGGGTGGCAACCCGCATTGCCCAGGCGCGTTTGGTCACAAAGTTTTTCAAGCGTCATAGCCACGCTCGCGAAGTTTTGCAAGCTTTCACGACAAAGGCTCTGCTGCTTCCCGCCGAGACTCGCTTCGGTACGYAWGTGATTATGATGCGACGACTTCTTCTGCTGCAATCGCATCTTATGCAGGTGGTCGTTGATGATCGATGGAAGGACACTGTTTGGTCAACGAAGAAGATTCGAGACGACGCCGCGGCGGTCACAGCATGTGTCGGTTGTCCGCAATGGTGGGAGGATATGAGAACGTTGTGCAAGTTGTTGGATCCCATCACGGACATGCTGCAGATGGTGGACAGCGACACGAGGCAGATTGGCAAGATTCTGCGTCGGTACGACGAGATGATCGCGCGTTGTTTGTCTGCATGTGCCGCTTTGGAGAAGGACGAGCAGGACACGCTGCTTGAAGTGTTTGACAGACGCCGCACCATGTTCAAGTCGCCTGCTCATGTTGCTGCCATGATGTTGGACCCCGAGTTTCGAGACCGCACGATGCCAGATGACGAGGAGATGCAGCACGGTTTGAAACTCGCTCTGATTCAGTTTGGGTACCCGGAACATTCGGATCAGCACAACGAGGTCCTCACTGCCATTGACAAGTTTCATTCTAGGGAGCCGCCGTTCGACGACGTGGCCATGGACCGGGTGGCGAGGAGCTATACCCATCCAGCCTGTTTCTGGGAGTCGAAGGAGAAGAGGTTCCCGCACACGGCCTTCTTCGCTGGCAGGATACTGCGTGTGTGGGCGACTGCGTCGCCTTGCGAGAGAGCTTGGTCCCGTTGGAGTTTCATCCACTCCAAATCTCGTAACAGATTGGAGGTGGCAAGGGCCGAGAAGCTCGTGCGATGCCATATGAACCTTCGGCTCCTCGACAGGCAGGCTATGTCGGACGATGCTCCCAGTGACAGGCCACATCCGTATGGGAGCTGGGTGCACTACTGGCAGCAGGTGGAGGAGGAGGTGCCCACCGACCAGCAGCTTGTGGCAGACCGAGGAGCCCGTGTGACGGTCACGAAGGAGGAGTTGATGCAGGCGAGAGAGAGGGTGCGCGTCGTGTCCCTCATGGGAGCCACTCGTCACTTGCGGGAGTCTGACAGGAGGAGGTGTTGTGGCGGCGGTCGCGGAGGTGGTCGTCGGGGCGGTCGCGGGCGAGGCGGGCGTGGAGGTCCTGGCGGGAGGCGTAGTGTCGCGAGTCGTGGAAGGGCAGTGGACGAGCTAGTACGCAAGCCTCGACAGCGATGGGATGAGGGAGACYTTTTGTACGAGAGCTCATCCAGCGATGACGAGGATTTCTTCRGGACTGGCAGACCTGCACAGGATGGCGACAGCGATTTCGACGACCGTCACCCGAACGTGGGCGATGACGATGGCGCCAGTGGCGATGATCACGGTGACGAAGGAGATAGGCCACGACCTGCACATGGTGACACAATGCGCGCCTACGGGGCAGGGGGCGAGCACCGCACAGCAGTAGATGACGCTCGAGATGGAGTGCATAATGATGGTTCACGACCTGTCTCGGGCGGTGACCTGAGGCGCTTGAAACGCGGACCAAGGAAAAAAAACACTATTGCTTCACGTGTGCACAAACGTCATGGTGGGGTTCCTAGCATTCCACTATCACGAGTCCCCGCAACTGGGCAGATTCCAGTTTCTAAGGACTCTTTCAGCGATCACGGCGGCGAGAAGCGGATCGAGCTGCATGGCGGGAGCGGTCATCCACGAGGTGACACTTTGAGTATGCACGCGACAGCTCCGATGGGGCCTTCCGCAGCAGTCTTAGAATCGCAACAGGGTCCAGCACTGTTGATGCGTCATCCCGAGGTTAAGGGAGAGATCAGTCCTCTCCCGGCAGTGCGGGACGAGGGTTCTGTCGGTGCACTGCATCCACTCACGTCTGCCGGAGCGGCAGTCTCAGTTGCAGCGACCTCGGATGTGGGACAACCACTGGCAGCGGCGGAGCAAGAAAGTATGCTCCCACCTCACAGCGTTCAACCGCGGCCACCGCCTGTATTGATGGAGGGGAGTCAGGGGACCGTTGTTGTGTGTCAAGGCGACGATCTTCCGGAACGTGATATCTCACACACTCCCGCAGCCGAGCAGAGCGCCGCAGACCATGTCGGCCTCGCATGCACCACCGGCAGTCTTCCGGGTACCGGCGAGTTACTGACCATGGACTCTGCGCTCGTTTCTCTACCGGACTTGTCGACGTTGATATCCCCAGGTCTACCCCATGTGTC